GCACAATAGCGGCCTGGCACATCGCAATTCAGCACGGCGCAGCACAGCACAGCCTTTGGCACGGTACGTCAAAATCGATACATTCAGCCTTGCATCCTGGCCCGTCGCCCAATCAGGTGTAGCGAAATCGATGCCATGCCTGACATTTCTATACATACTTGTCCCAACCATCCTGTAGTGTTGTGTCCACGTTTTGACGAGACGGTGCCCAGCGTCCTTCTCCTCCTCCTCCGAAAATCCTCTTCCTCCTCCTCCTCCTCCTCCTCCTCCTCCTCCTCCTCCTCCTCCTCCTCCTCCTCCTCCTCCTCCCCTCTCCTCCTCCCCCTCCTCCCTCCTTCCGTCCCCCCCCCCCCCCCACTTTGGCACACCCCTCACACGCTTGGTGGCCACATGGGGAGCTCCAGCCAAGGCCCCAGTGGCCGAGTTCATATGCCGCCTCCTGTCCACTTTGGCACGCTACTCATACGTTTCATGGCCCCGGGCCCCAGTGGCTCACTTCACATGCCGCCTCCTGTCAGCTTTGGCCCACCCCTCACGCGTTTCGTGGTCCTATAGGGAGCTCCACCCGAGGCCCCAGCGTCTGCGTTCACATGCCGCCTCCTGTCCACTTTGGCACACCCGTTACATTCTCCGTGGCCCCATAGGGAGCTCCACCGAATGCCCCAGTGGCATGGTTCGCATGCGTTTCCGCAACGCAGTGCAGCGCTTCGTGGTCCCATAGGGAGCTCCACCGAAGGCCCCAGTTGCGGGGTCCGTATGCGTTTCCCTCACCCCCTACATCGTTTCGTGGCCCCACAAGGGTCTCCACCGAATGCCCAAATGGCGGGACTGAGTACAACGCTTCGTGGCCCCATTGGGGGCTCCACCGAAGGCCTCAGTGGCGGTGTCCGCATGCGTTCCCCCACCCAGTACAGCGTTTCGTGGCTCCATGCTCCACCGAAGGCCCTGGTGGCAGTGTCCGCATGCGTTTCCCCGACCCAGTACAGCATTTCGTGGCCCGGTAGGGGGCTCCACCGAAGGCCCTAGTGGCAGTGTCCGCATGCGTCTGCCCGACTCAGTTCAACGCTTCGCGGCCCCATGTTTAGGGAGCTCCATCGAAGGCCCCAGTGGCGGTGTCCGCGTGCGTTTCCCCCATCCAGTACAACGCATCGCGGCCCCACCAAGGAGCTCCACCGAAGGCCTCAGCGGCGATGTTCGCACGCACCTCCCCCGCCCAGTGCAGCGCTTCGTGGTCCCATAGGGAGCTTCACCGAAGGCCCCAATAGCGGTGTTCGCATGGCGGCCCCGCTCCATTTCGGCACACCCCTCACATTTCGTGGCTCCATATGGAGCGCCGCCGAAGGCCCCAATGGCTGCGCCCGCATGCGTCCCCGCCCCATGTCGGCACACCCTTTACCCTTTACCCGCTTCGTGGCCCCATAAAGAGATCTACCGAAGGCGATACCCACAGCGGCGATACTCACAACTGCATCTGGTTGGGCCCTTCGCCATGTTATTTTTTTCTACGCGGTGCTTCCTGGGTTGTGTTAAAGACGTGGTGGTTTCTACGTTTGCTTCGTGGTGTATCCTCAATGGTGTTTGTTTTGTGGTGCATCCTCCATAGCATTTTCAGTGAAAGGGCTGCGGCCAAGGGTTCTCTTTTACATTGTTCCCCCCCGACCTCGACTTGAGGTGGGCCGGCGAATGTGATCTGCGGTAAATAACGAGGTCGAGGTGGGCTGGCGAAAATTTGAGGATGTCCCGAGCGAGACGCTGGTTTTTCCCAGAAAGGGCGGAGGCCCACGATTTGCCCTGGGAGCGTGCATCCCTCGTAATTTGCAAGGGGTCGCAGGCTTGTGAGCGCGAGCCCAAGTCAATTTACCAAGGATTGTGGCCTGGAGAGCTCGCATCCGGTGTAAATTACGAGGGGTCGCGGCCTTGGGCGCGCGGTCGCAGTGCAATTCACCGAGGTTCCCGGCGTCGGGTCCATCGCTTGATTTTCAGGAGATGACGGCGAGGGGGCCGAAAAGCGCCACCCGAGCACAGGTCCCAAGGCGGGGCTGTATTGTCTTCTGCTCTGGGAAGGATACTGTTCGTGGTGTCTCGGGCCTCATGGGGGCCTCGCCAGGGCGGGAGGTGTTCGCGTGGTGTCGGGTCTCTGCTCCGTCTTCTAAGTCGATGGAGTGAGCTTTCGTAAACTGCTAACGAGTTGCATGCCAGTTATGATCAGTTATGTAGCTGCAGTGTGAGAAACATGATGGACCCACCAACCCGGAAAGGGATATAGAACCGCATGCATGGAAACGTTTTCACGACACCGTATTGGGCGACGGGCACTTCCACGAGACACCCCGCGAAACATTCCACGAGACACGGGCGACCGTTTTCAACGTTTTCCTGGAAACGTTCCACGAGACACCCCGCGAAACAGTCCACGAGACAACCCACGAAACATTCCACGACGACAGGCAACCACTCAACCGAGGCGGTGTGGTCGTGCTGGGGAGTGGTCGTGCTGGGATGTGGTCGTGCAGGGGCGTGGTCGTGCTGGGGGGTGGTCGTGCTGGGGGGGGTAGTCGTGCTGGGGGGTGGTCGTGCTGGGGCGTGGTCGTGCTGGGGCGTGGTCGTGCTGGGGCGCGGTTGTGCTGGGGTGTGGTCGTGCTGTGGTGAGGTCGTGCTGGGGTGTGGTCGTCCTGCCAACATTCAAGGAAATCCTGGAAAAACAACCGCATCAGTCGAGACATCCTCGGAATTCCTGCGCGCGGGACGCGGCACGCGCGAGACATTCTCGGAATTCCTGCGCGTGGGGCGCTTTTCCGCGTCGCGGTCGGCTCTGCAGAACCAGCGTTTCGCTCGAGACATCCTCAACAAATTCTGACAACTAGCGTTTCGCTCGAGACACCCCCAATTTTGCAAAACCAGCGTTTCGCTCGAGACATCCTCAACAATGATGAAAAACAAGCATTTCGCTCGAGACATCCTCAAATTTTAATCCGCCGGCGCACCTCGACCTCGATATTTATCAAGGAACAAATCCGCCGGCGCACCTCAGTTGAGGCTCCGGGGACAGGTTTACCAAACTAAAAGAGAACCCTGGGCCTACGCCCTTTCCGGGAACATGATCGACCCACGAACCCGGAAAGGAATATAGAAATGTAACGCATGGCAACGCTTTCGAAGACACCTGATTGGGTGACGGGCAAATGCAATGCGGAGTGTATCGATTTTGATGCACTTTGCCAAGGGCTGTGCTGCGCTGCGCCGTGCTGAATTGCGATGTGCCATGCCGCGATTGTGCTCTACAGCGTTGTGGATCGAGTCTTCCTTTGCATCCGAGTCCTGACCGAACTGATCTGGATCTTAAGCTCGAGCTGCCTGAACACATAGTAGCTGCCTCAGAGCTAATTGACAAGGGGATATGCCAGGAGGACGCGCCGCGGAACGTCTCAAGGGACGCGCCAAGCGACGTGCCAGGGGACGTGCCATGGGGACGCACCGCGGGACGTGCCAAGGGGACGCGCTACGGAACGTGCTGGGGACAAGCGTTTCGCTCGATACATCCTGTCAAAATCTTCATGCTAGACATCCGCCTGAGCGACCTGGACATGTGAAAACAAGCATTTCGCTCAACACATCCTCAACACATTCTCATGCTAGACATCCGCCTGGGCGAACTGGACACGTGAAAACAAGTGGTTCGCTCGAGACATCCTCAACACATCTTCATGTGAGACGTCCGCCTGGGTGACCTGGGCACGTGAAAACAAGCGTTTCACTCGAAAAGCTTTCAACACCTCCTCATTCTAGACGTCCGCCTGGGGGTCCTGCACACGTGAAAGCAAACGTCTGGCTCGAGACATTCTCAACACATCTTCATGTTAGACATCCGCCTGGGCGACCTGGACACGTTAAAAAAACGTATCCCTCAAGACATTCTCAACACATCCTCATGTTAGGCATCCGCCTGGGCAACCTGGACACGTGCAAACAAGCATCTCGATCGAGACTTCGTCAACACATCCTCATGCTAGACATCCGCCTGGGCGACGAGGACGCGTGAAACCAAGCGTCTCGCTCGAGACATCCTCAACAAATCCTGGCGCTAGACCTTTGCCTGGGCAACCTGCAGGCGTGTAACCAAGCGTCTCGCTCGAGACATCCTCAAGACCTGGGCACGTGAAAACACGCATTTCACTTCAGAGATCCTCTGAACTCTGGTCCCCAGGAGAGGACAATCTATAACACAAAACAAGCGTTTCGCTCGAGACATCCTCAAACAATTCTGAACAACAAGCGTTTCGCCCGATACATCCTCAACTTTTAATTCCCCGGCCCTACGCGACCTCGTTATGTATCGCAAAAGAAATTCGCCGGCCCTACAGCCGTCAGATCCTGGGGCAAACCCCTAAACGACCTAAAAGAGAACCCTGGGCCTGTGCCCTCTCCGGGAAAAAAGGCAACACGATGCAACTGGTGATGCATGATATGTTAGCGAAGTCCTCATATTTCAGTTGTCTGCTGTCAGAAACCCCATCTGCACCCGCTGCCGTTTGGTCTCGGCAAAGGCTTGCCTTGCCAATTGCTCCAGTTTTTGTTGAGGATGTTCTCAGGCAGCGGCAAGATGGCCCTGCCAGCGCGTACGACCTGCGATTTAGGAATCACGTTCGATGTTGGCGGCAAGGTTTCGAAAGACGTTGCCAAACACAAGACCCGCATGGAGGAGAGGGTCGCTACGACCTGCTACTGCTGCCTTGACTGCAACCGCTTGTGGAGCCGAATCGAGAAGGTGCAGAAGTCCAGGCCTGGACCGAAGGGGTGGAGGAAAGGAATGAGCAAGGAGGAGAAGGCAGATTGCTTGAGAATTAATGTTGGCGCCCTGGGCCCCAGCTTGGCCGCCCTCATGGAGCCGAAAGCGTTCAAGATTGATGAGTCGGAGTCGATGTCCGAGTCAGGGGAGTCTGACGAGTGGTTGGACGAGCGCGAGCTCATTACCCAGTACGCGGGTCAAGAGCATCAGGCCCGCTTGATTATGCAGAACGCGGAAAAGAAACATCACGCGAATGCCAAGATCAGATCAGGCGGAGCATCAGGCACGAGCGCAATACTATCTTCCAGACGAATATTTCCACTGAGCTGAAGTTGAAGAAGCAGAAGGTGGCCAAACCTGCAGCTCCACGCAAGGAAAAAACCGAAGACGATCTCTAAGGCGACCAATGGAAGGCTCGATAATAACATCGAAAAAGGGCTGAGGGATACGTCGACGATACCGCTTCGGCGCTCGCGAAGACAGCCGCGGAGAAGTACCAGGACTACGTCGGAAAGGTGTTCCCCAGGGAAGGCGTGACGACCAAAGGGATCATGGAGGTCATGATTGCCGAGGCGAAGTTGGCGATCGAACCAGGCTGGACGGGCCAGCCCGCCAAGATGGAGAAGCGCCTGACGGCAGCACCGGATTCCGCCAAGAGCCCGACCGACACGATTGAGCAGCAGGCGACCGACACTGACTGGAGACATCGGCGGCGATGCAGTGGAGGCCAGCCCCGAGTCTGCGTCGTCGTCGGCTTCCGCGCCGAAGAGGCGCGTGGCGGGGAAGGGGGACGCGCAGTGAACGTCATTGTGCGCAGAAGGCTTGCCTCGCGCAGCGAGGGTAAACCACGCGTTTGCAGCAGGCGCAACCTGGGGACAACTGACCAGTTGCGCATGTGGGACGCAAGATGAATACAGGCAAATCGCCCGCCTTCCCTCCGCCTTCCGCCATTTCTCCTCCCCCGCTCCTCCGCGTAAGTTGGGTGGTTAGTTTTATATTGAGCTACGCATCGGTGCGAGACCGAAAGCAAACAAGTACCATGAGGGCAAGACGACAACGACTTTGACAAGAGAGCTGAAAGTGCTGGAAATTGTAAAAAAAAAAAAAAGAAGCGAATTGAACAAGTGTTGTTTGGCAAGATTGTCGGGCGCATGACTCGTTTGATCGTCTCTTGCCTTGTGTGTCAACGCCAGTTCGCGATCGAGGAAAACTCCAGGGTCATGGTAGCTCGTCTCTGGGTGAATGAATAGCCTTGGCAGAACCCGTTTGTGGACAGGTTCTTTCGTGTCTGGTTGCAGTGCCTTCGGCATTTTGGAAGCTCGTCTTGGCTTGCAACTGGCGGGGGACCTTGGTGACTTGGGCATTCCCTTGGCACAAGGACGATAACTAAATGGTTCTCTTCGACCCGTCTTGAAACACGGACCAAGGAGTCTCACATCTGTGCGAGTCCACCGGTGGCGAATTTGCCAGCGCAGTGAAAACGGCTGCTGGGATCTTTGCCTTCCCTCCCTCCCGTCTTCCTCCTTTGCGTGTTTGCTGGGAGCTACCAGCAGCGTGAGCAGCGCTGGCTTCTCCATCGGCATGTTCAGCAGCATGCGCACCACTGGAACTACCAGCAGCATCACCAGAACGACCACCATTGGAATTAACAGCGGCATACCAGGAGGAGAGGGGGAGGAGGAGGAGCAAGATAACCCACGCATTTGGGTCACATCGGCCTTTCTTCCCCCCCTCGCCCCCAATCAATCCTCACCCCTTCCCCCGCCGTCGTCGCACTCGGTTTGTTCGCGTGCGCGCCGCGGCCGTTCGCCCGCGACGAGGCCCAGAGGATTGCCTTGGAAGGTTTGCAAGAGGCTTGCCCCAGCCCAGTTGCCGAGCCAGAGTTGCCCTGATCAGCTGCATCAGCGGTCGGGTCCAGCTGATGGAAGATGAAGATGAATTTGACGACTGGCATGTCACGCGAGTCGTCCGATTACCATAGGCTATCTCGGAGGCCGCCGAAACGACCGATCGGCGCGGAGGTCGTGTCGCGGCGATAACCTGCGACGTTCTCTCGGCCGAGCAGGTCGCGCTCATTCGGGCCTCGGTGAACGAGGAAATTGATCAACAAGTGGGGAGCAGCAACAGCCGCAACACTGCGTTCCACATAGTGTCAACTCCAGACGTTTGGCCCCCGACGGCCCCCTACGACAGCACCACTGCTGCTTTCCAGCTGGGGGGGCCAGAGGGCGAAGTTGTCCAGGGCGCCGCAGCTCGCTGCGTTTGTCGGCTTCGGCGGCCTGCTGCACCCTGAAGAGACGACCAGTTGCGGCGTGATTGCGCTGGCGTTGCTCGACGTGCTCTGCCGTGCGATCAACGCCGAGGGCGCGAAGCATTGTTGCCGCGCCAAGAACTGCGCAGCGCAGCTAAGCAAGGCGCACCACCAGTTCGACTCACCAGAGGCACTGGGGCGCAACCGGACCAAATGGTTCGACAGCGTGTTCGGTGATTCCAGGCCTTGAGGCTCGTAAATCGACATCTTTCAGCTCGCCGCGGCACGCGATCTTTCTCCTCGGCTGCAGGATCTCGAGGCAAACGTCTGCAGCGCAGGTGTTCGGGCGAGCCCACATCGGCGCGCGCAAACCATGACATAAACACACAGGTGATGACTGTCTTGATGGTGACGATGGCAAGGACGATTGTGATGACGATGATAATGGTGTTGGCGATGCTGATTTTGAGTGTGATGATGGCGGAATTGATGACGATGTCGAGGGTGCTGACGATGCTGCTGTTGACAGTGTTAGCACATGCGATGATGCTTATGATGGTGGTGATGATAATGGCGCCGATGCCGCTGATAATGGCAGCGGTTTCGCAAGCCATCTCCGGGTCACTGAAGGATGTCGCGGCATGCTCAGCGAAGAACCACCACTTTCAGTCACAAGGGGTAGGTTTCTGATCCGCCATCTTGGAGGGCCCCGCGGGGGCTCCAAGATCTGCACAAATGGTTCCAGGTAAGCCCCGGGCGGGCCCCAAGAGGCAGTCACTCCTCCTGTCCCCACCCAATCCTCCATGATGGGGCCATCCAGAGGCGTCTGGGCAGCTCGGGCCTCGGTCTGCAGCTTGCCGCTGCAAGGGCCAGCTGATCGCGCGTTTTCAGCTGTCGCGTTGGACGTCGACCGCTACTATGGCCAGATCTCTCGGCACAGGATTGCGATGATGCTGGAAGACGCCTCAAGCCCGCCTTGCTGGTTCAGGGGGCATTCTCGCGCGTCCATGGAGGTTGCCGCGCCGGGCCCTGGCGCCCAGAGCGCCCAGAGGCATCCTGCTCTAATGGGCGCAGCGCCCGCGGCCCAGCCTGCAGCGCAGACAGCCGACGCACTTGGGGCGCTGCTGGGCGACGGGGCCACCCGAGCAACCTCCGCCGCTGAGACGGTCACGGCTCAAGCCCGAGGGAACGAAACTGCGCAAGAACGGCGGCGGCGCTGCCGACGACCTGCAGCCGGATGGGGCCGTCGAGCACAGCGCGAGGGTGATGGGCGGCAAGGGGGCGAAGAAGGGGGGAATCCGACGAAGATCCGCGGGCGCGTCTTCGCGACGAAAGAGGCCTCGGCGGCAACCGTCGCGAAGAAGCCAGCGGCGGCCCAGCCTTCGGAGCCCGGCGGGGGAGCTGGCCCATCCAAGTGCTCGCTCGCCTTTCCAGGCACGGGCAAGATGCCAGCAATGAAGTACGGCAAGGCGAAGAGTGTGTTTTCTCGTCGGACAGGCACCGCCTCCTCGGCGTTTCAGATGAAATACTTGTTTTCACGTGCCCAGATCTCCAGGATGTCTCGAGCGATACGTTTCGAGGATGTCTCGAGCGAAGCGCTTGTTTTGCAGAACTCGAGCGGCTTGGGCGCTCCAGGATGCCCAGGTGGTTATGGGAGCCAGAACGTAGCGCAATTTACCAAGAAACGTGGCCCTGGCACAGTCGCGCGGCGCGTCCCCTGGCACGTCCGTCCACTGGCGCACTCCGCAGCGCGTCCCTTTGGCACGTCCCGCGGTGCGTCCCCATGGAACGTCCCCTGGCACGTCGCCTGGCGCGTCCCTTGGGACGTTCCGCAGCGCGTCCTCCTGGCATGTCCCCCTGTCAAGTAGCTCTGGGGCAGCTACACCGTGCTCAGGCAGCTCGAGCTTAAGATCCACATCAGTTCGGTCAGGACTCGGATGCAAAGGTTGACTCGATCCACAACGCTATACAGCACAATCGCGACATGGCACATCGCAAGTTAGCACGGCGCAGCATAGCACAGCTCTCGGCACGGTATATCAAGATCGATACATTCAGCATTTCAAGTTGGCGCGATCCTTGGTACGGTCTTCGGCGCGGCCCTTGGCGAGTCCCCGTGGCACGTCGCGCGGCGCGTCCTTTGGCACGTCCATTGGCACGTTCCGTAGCGCGTCCCCTTGGCACGTCCCGCGGTGCGTCCCCATGGAACGTCCCCTGGCACTTCCCCTTTGCGCGTCCCTTGGGACGTTCCGCGGCGCGTCCCCCTGGCATGTCCCCCTGCCAATCAGCTCTGGGACAGCTACACGGTGCTCAGGCAGCTCGAGCTAAAGATCCAGATCCGTTCGGTCAGGAGTCAGGATTCGGATGCAAAGGAGGACTCGATCCACAACGCTATACAGCACAATCGCGGCATGGCACATCGCAAGTCAGCACGGCGCAGCACAGCACTGCTTTCGACACGGTCCATCAAGACCGATACACTCAGCATTGCGTTTGCCTGTCGCCCAATCAGGCGTTTTTGAAAACGTTACCATGGCTTACACTTCTATATTCCACATTGCTATATTCCTTACTCGTGGGTCGATCATGTTTGTGAGGGGTGCTTTCGAAAGCGCCCCCGGGCAGAAGTTTTCGCGTCGTGTCGGGCGTCCCGGGGCTTCCCGTCCCGCGCGGGGGTTTTCGCGTGGTGTCTGGCCTCGGGGGGCCTCCCCGGCGCGGGAGCTGGCACGTCCGCTGGCGCGTCGCTTGGCACGTCCGCTGGCACGTTCCGTGGCACGTCCACCTGGCACGTCGCGCGGCGCGTCCCATGGCACGTCCCCTGGCACGTCCCCTGGCACTTCCCCTGGCACGTTCCTTCGGACGTTCTGCGGCGCGTCCCCGTGGCATGTCCCGCGGAGCCCCCTCTAGCGCGTCCCTTAGCGCGTCCCCTTTGCTGCACGGCACAGCGCAGCGCAGCACAACACAGCCCCTGGCACAGTATCGTCACCATCGATGTTTTAATATCTGCCACTGCCCATCGCCCAGTTGGGGTGGTTTGAACCGCTTCCATGTTTCATATTGTTAATCCCTTTAGGTTCTTGGGCCGATCATGTTCGGAAAAGAACCAGTAACAAGCCCTAAGGCGTTCGGCACGCCAGGCACCCTTGTGGCAAGCCACCATGGGGCGGCGGATCGGAGACGCCTACGGCTAATCACGTAGAGGTCTCCCTCGGCATACGAGCTGGAGAGTCAAGCTAAGAATCGAGGTGAAGGTGATCCGCGGTCGAAGGTTGCCCCAGCGATCGACCGTCCCGACCGCATTCGACTCCGTCGTATCTTGGGCGCCGAGTGCGTCTTCGAGAAGGCCAGGAGGCCCGCGAGGTACGCCGAGCGCGGGAGGAGACAGGCGGGGAGGCAGAAGAGTGCTGACGTCAGCGCAATGCTCGTCGCAGTCCGCCTCTCCCAAGCCCTCGCTGGGGCTACTCGAAGCGGAGCACAGCACAGTTTAACGTGGCATGGCATATTTCAACTCACGACCGCACAGCACCGCCCCTAGCACGGCACATCACCATCGATACTTTCAGAGTTCCAATTCCTGACGCCCAATGTGGGCGTCTTGAAATCATGTCCACGCGTCGCACATCAAGACTCCATTCCGATTCTACATAACAAATTGCTGTAGCAGACTGTGAGGCGGTTGGGCTGGGGGGCACGACGGAAGTAATTTCATGCTCCCCCCCCTCAGGGCGGCTTCCAAGAGGTCCCGCTGGTCTTCGAACGCTTGGCCGAGGAGGTGTATGATGGCGCGACATGGAAGTATTATGACAGGGTTGTGCAAGACGATTTTACAATCAGCTTTGAATTCAAGACGACGTCTTCCAATACTCCGAACGCTGGGCCTTGGTATAAAGGTATGGGGCTGGTAGATGCCGAAACGGGAGGTATTAACAATGACTTTGGAATTTCAATGATGGAGGGATCAGTTGCTTTCGGCATCGGGAACCCAGATACAACAATCACATCAGCAAATACCTTTGCAGATGGTGCGTGGCATCATGTGGTGGCGAGTCGCACACGGTCAACTGGTGAGTTCTCGCTATGCGTTGATGGCGTTCTCGTGGGCACCAAGACAGGAAACACGAATTCTCTTACGAGTCCAGACCAGATTTGCGTTGGGCGCATCGCAACTGGAAATGACGGGGCAGCGTTCTATGGGTCCATGCGGGCCTTGGAAATCTACTCCTACTCCTATGCAGTGGCGCCAGAGTACTGCCAGGCATCAGTTGCGCACTCTGTCCTCCTCTGGCCTTGGCCTTTCTTTATTTAATCGCTTCGCTCATTCCTCCGGCCCTGGAGCCCTCTTTAGGGCCTCTTGGGGGCCTCTTGGGGACCTGTTGGGAGTCTCTTGGGGCTCCTTGGCGGCGTCTTGGGGGCCCCCAGGGCCTCTTGGGGGCCTCTTGGGGGGCTCTTGGGGCAGGAGGGTGGGGGGGCAGTCGATTGCGGCCCCCCCCCCTCCCAGGCCACGATCCTCATGAGGGGTGTGGAAAAATTGCCCGGTCCGGCATCTCTGACCCGACCCACCCGGGACCGCCTTGGCCTTGATTTGTACCTGTCCCCCTCACTCCAAGGCACCCCAGACCAGCCAACAGAGCCCGAAGGCGGCCGAGGAGCCGCTCAGCACGACCCAAGGGCACCCGAAACAGATCCCCTGATCTGCCCATAACGCGGGAGCACGGGGCGCAGGACGAGCACGGGGGAGGAGGAGCAGGAGGGGCGGCGCAGGACGATGATCAGCATGTGGAGGAGGAGGAGGAGGAGGAGGAGGAGGAGGAGGAGAAGGAGGAGGGGGGGGGAGATGCCTGAAAGAGTATGGTGAGGAGAAGGAGGAGGAGGAGGAGGAGGAGGAGGTGGAGGAGGAGGAGAGTTTTTTTCTTGGGAATGGGCGTGGGCCCAGGGCTCGGCCCGCTTTTCGTATCCTCACCCCCGGTTTTTATGCGAAGTGGGCTGGTGAATTCATTTGCGTGGAGTCAAACTGTGAATCAGGCGATCGCACACGTGGATCAAGGGGGCGTGGATTAGCGGCGGGTCCCGTTTCCATGGGAACTCGCGGATTCCCGCCGCCCAGCGAGGCGGCACCGGCCGCATTCTGGGGAGGACACATCCCCCGATCCATGTATTTTGCGACCGCGCGCCAAATCCATGGATCGCTGATCCATGTTTGCGCGAGCCCGACACTGTGAAGCCTCACTTTGTTTGTTGATGTGCGTTTCGCGCGAGCCCGCTCGAGGAACGTCCGCCCGCCCATCCCGGATCCTCGAGGAATTTCGGGGCTCCTCTTCTGCAGAACAAGGATACGGAGCGTTTTGCAGATACTCTTCGACGGAGATCGAGGTCTGGAGGCCCTGCAATGTCAAAGAAAGTCAGAAACGTGGACTTCGCGCGTGGCCGCTCGAGGACGGCGCGCCCTGCGCGCCGAATTCCCGAGGATGTCTCGATCGGGACGCTTGCTTTGCAGAACTTGAGGGTCCCCTGGCGCCCCAGGCTGCCCATGGGTTTGTGGGAAACGCGGACACAGGAGGGGCCCAGCGTAATTCACGAGAGGTTGTGGCCCTGGGAGGGTGAATCCTGTGTAATTTACCAGGGATCGTGGCCCTGAGGCTGCGGACGCAGTGTAGGTTAGAAGGGATCGTGCCCCTGGGAGCGCGGACGCAGCGTACTCTACAAAGGATCCTGGCACTGGGGGGGCAGTTCGGCGTAACCCACAATGGATCCTGCCCCTGGAAGCGCGGACACAGCGTAGTTTACGAAGGATCGCGGCCCAGGGAGAGCGCACAGATCGTAATGTGTAAGTGATCGTGAGCTTGGGGGCTCTGACGCAGCGTAATTTTTGGAGGAATCGCGGCCCTGGGAGCGTGAACGCAGCGTAGTTCAAATGGGATCGTGGCCCAAGGAGAGCGGACGCAGTATGATCGTGGCTCTGGGAGCGCAGACGCAGCGAAATTTTCGATGTATCGTCGCACTGAGGCCACGGACGCAATGTAGTCGATTTGGGATTGTGGCCCTGGAAGCGCGGACGCACGGTAATTCCCGGGGGATCGTGGCCCTGGGAGCGCGGACGCAGTGCAGTTTATGAGGGATCGCGACGGTGGAAACGAGGATACAGCGTAATTTACTAGAGATCGCAATTTACGAGAGATCGCGGCCCTGGGAACGCGCATCCAGTGGAATTTGCAAGGGGTCGTGGCCCCGGGAGCGCGGGCGCAGGGCAATGTTCGATGGGTCGTGTCCCTCGGGGCGCTGACCCGGTGTAGGTTTCGATTGGTCGTGGCTTTGGGGGACTGGGTGCAGCGTGATTCAGAGAGGATCGTGGCCCTGGGAGCGCGGAGGCGGCGTGATTTACGAGTGATTTGGACTTTTGAAGCGCTGGCGCAGCGCGGTGTACGAGTGATTGTAGCCCTGGGAGCGAGTCCTGGGTCCGTCGCGTGTGGCCCCCTTTCTGGGTCCGCGGGGTCTGGGGGAGCCCGTCCAGAAACGGGATGCGGAGCGTCGTGTGCAGAACCCGCGACAAAACACAAGGCCTGGAGATTCTCAAGTTTTACAAACAAAAATGGAAACGTACATTCGGTCGTGCCCGCTCGAGGACGGCGCTCCCCGCGCGCAGGAATCTCCAGGAGGTCTCGAGCGGAGCGCTTTGTCTTGCAGGAGGAAGGCTGGCTTTCTCTGTGCCCGCTCGAGGGTATAGCGCCCCCTGCGTGCCGAGTGTCTCAGGGGTGTCTCGAGCGAAGCGCTCGTGAGAGGCTTCGGCGCCCCAGGAATGCCCCCCGGCGGGTTCTGGGAGTGCGTTCGGGCCGCTGTCTGGAAACGATCGTGGCCCCGGAGGCGCGGATGCCGCGTGATTTACAAAAGGATCCTGGCCCTGGGAGAGCGGACGCGGCGAAGTCGACGAGGGGTCCTGGCCCTGGAGGCGCGAACCCTGCGTAATTTGCAAAAGTATCGTGGCCCAGGGAGCGCGGACACGGATTAATTCACCAGGGAGCGCGGCCCTGCGAGCGCGGACGCAGCGTAGTTTACGAGGGACCGTTGCCCAGGGAGAGCGGACGCAGCGTAATTTACGAGGGATCGTGGTCCTGGGAGCGCGGACGCAGCGTAATTTGACAAAGATCGTGACCCTGGTAGCGTGGACTCGGCGGAATTCACAAGGGATCATTGCCCTGGGGGGGCGGACACAGCGCAATGAATTGGGGATCCTGCCCCTGAGGGCGCGGACACACTGTAATTGACGAGGGGTCATTGCCCTGGTGGCGCGGGCGCTGCGTAATTTGCCAGAGGTCGTGGCCCTAAGAAGTGGCTGTGGGAACGCGCATCCAGTGTAATTAACAAGGGATCGTTGCCTTGGGAGCGCGAACCCAACGGCATTTCCAAAGGGGTCGTTGCCCTGGGAGCGTGAATCCAGCATAACTTTGATGAATCGTGGCCTTGAGAGCGCGCCCCCCGCGCAATTTAGCAGGGGGCGTGGCCCCGGGAGCGCGGACGCCGCGTGATTTACGATTACGATAGATCGTTGTCGGGGCACCTCATCGACGCTGCCACGACTCAGACGGGCCTCCCGCTTGCATGGGATGCGGTGATGATCGAGGTGGAGAATGAGCTGCTCGACAGATGGGACGTGCTTGGCAAAGATCGGGCGAAACGTAGTGGTCAGGGAAGGGCTAGCTGTACCAAGTGGGTGGTTCGCGCATAAGGCTACATCAGAGCAGGCAGGCGCGAGCGTGGGGCGCAGCGGCTAAGTGGGCTGAGCACCTAGACGCCACTCGCTCGATCATGGCCACCAGGATCCAGAGGCTGCAGGCTGCCAGCGCGATGTGCTTCCCAAGCGCCTGCCAGTTTGACGACATTGCGAGTTTCTTCGTATGAGTTCTGACGTTCTTCAGGCGGATTGTGGGCAATGCTGGAGTTCTCAAGGAGTTATACCTGCATGGGTTGGCGTGTTCTTCCATCGTGGGTTCAAGGTGTTCACGGCTGACGGTTTCCTGGCCACGGTTGAGGCCATCCTGAAGGAGGCGCAGCACCAGCTACGACAGGATCAATATGCCAGGAATGCAAAGTTCAAGGAATGGGCGCATCAAGCGTCCATCGGAGGTGGATCGGGGCAGGCCCATGGTGCCGCCAAGAGTGCAGGATTGCAAGAGGTTGTCGGCACAGCTGTGTGCGGAGAGCCCCATGTATTAGCCGAGCGGGAGCTGTCCAGATGGAAGAAGGAATGGGGCTGCCACGGCCTTGAGCCGCTCGAGGCGCCAGAGAACGTTCAGAGGTGAGAGTTGCTACCTCCGCTGGCTGGCCTTCAGCTGCGCCGTGCCTGCGCCGCGTTTTCGAAGAGCGCGGCCGCAGGTCCTTCACGCATTGCACCGACGGCGTTGCAGCAGCTGTCCTGTGTGGCTCTGGCCACCCTGGCAGCGCTCTAGAAACGTTGCGAGGCGCTACTGATGTGGCCGGACGAGCGCATCGTCAACGAGCTGGTGTGACTGCCGAAGGCAGAAGGCGGGCATCGGCTCACTGCGCTGGCGCAGACGCTGGTGCCGCTGTGGGCCAAGGCGAGGTCACCGAGACCAAAGGCGTGGTTCAGAGGCGCTGACGCACCTGGCATTTTGGGCAGCTGTGGCCCAGGCAGGTCTTCCAGCCACGCTGTTTTCCCACAGCCTGGAGTCGGAACTGGCGCAGCTGCGTGGAGAGAAGGCGTTCACCGCGGTCCTTGACGCGTTCAAGCGTTTCGAATGTGTGAGCCCGCACGCACTGATCTCCGAGGGCCGTGCATGTGGGTGCCCTGTGAGCTTGCTACGGATGTACTACGGTATCACAGGCAACCGAGAGCGATTAAAGCGTTCGGCTCCTGGCCGCCACAGTTTTCCACGACTCAGGGGGTAATGGCGGGGTGCTCGCACTCCATGCTACTTACGTGCCGCATCACGAGACGGTTGCGTTCCCCGGGCGCGGTGCCGAGGACTCGTGGATGATCCGGCGCTGCATTGGACGGGCGTGGGCACGACAATGATGTTTCAGCTTTTGCTTGCAGTCAAGGCTTTCATCGCGCAGGCAAGGCAGCATGGCCTAACCTTGCAGATGGATAGGTCCAGTCTGGTGGCAGCCCGCCCGCAGGCCGCGCGCGTGGCGCGCAGGCCGGCGGCCGACATCGGTCTGCCCATTAAGCCCTGTATCAGGAATCTGGGCCACGAGCTGCACGCGCTGATCGCAGGCGCCACCAGAATCGCACCAGGATGG